GGAGCTTGCTGTAGAACCTTTAGAAGAAAATTCAATACATAAATATTACTTTTATTCATAGCATGGGCTTAAGCAGTATCAGTTGTGTGTATACTAATTTAACAAAAATAGATCCATTGTTCCTGAAGTCCACAAAGAGTTTCAATATTGTTGAAATTATACCTAGTGTGCATTCAATAATAATACTGTGCTTTGTTATTTTACCTAGATGACAGGGAATGCAGTAGGCACTGCATCTGTTCTGTTTCACCGTTTTTTGTCTTGGTCAAATTTGACAGTTTTCACTGATGGATAGATAGCACAACAAGGAGCACACTATCCCTAGAGTCCTGAGAATATAACATTAAAAAATGCTTTAAAATGGAAATGTTGAGGTTTTTTATTTAACTGTGCTATACAAACGAAGGCTCTTTTCGGTTCTTTTAGGTTGTGTTTTCAAGGCTTTGGAACAGAACATATGTATTGTTTTTTCATGGAATTTTGATTTCATATGGACTGGAAATGCAGGTAGACTCTGCTCTTGATCAGTGGTAGAAGGGATATCTGAATGATCCCCTATCCCTCTTCGTCAAAGAGTATGTTACACAAACCTTGTTCTGTGCTTTTTATGGTCATTATTCCCTTATAATCTGGGGGAAAAAAAAATCTGCTGGGCAGAAAATTACTGTTGCCAAAAGAGAAGAGCTGTGAAAAAGCTCAGGAATGTGTAGAGGTGATGTCCAGGTGATGTCAATGGATTAAGCTGGTGGTATGTGGAAGGGTGTCTTTCTCTTTTAAGGGCATGTAAAACTAGCAAGTAGATTTTGGAGCAAGTATGAGGGAAGGGATTCAGAATAAGCACATAGCTAATGGCATGACTTCTTCATAAGTTGGAATGTGTTGTGAAACCAAGGAAGTTCAGAAGAAAAGAAATTCAGATGTGCTAAGTAAGTAATTTGTGTGATTAAGACTTTCAGAATATGAACTCCATTTCCTTGGATCGCTCTAAAGGGAAAAATAATAACCATTTGCTAGCCTTTTTGAATGCACTGTTACAAATGGAGACATATCCAAGGAATACTTGCGCGTTGTGTGGCCACTGTGAGAAAGAGCAATGTTTGTATGTTTGACTGTATATTTCTTAATGCGATTTTGTTTTTTTTACTGGGGAGTTTTCACTCCTGCGGGCAATGCTGACAGTAGTGTTTTAATACAGGTAGTGGTTAATCATCTTATGGGCAGTGGGCCATGAATGAGTAGGTAAAGCTGACAAATTTGTTTGGATACTGTAGTAGGCAACGTGCTTTGTGTAACATCCCTGTGAGCTGAACCACGGCTTTTCAACATAAAAGTTGTAAATGTGTGCCTTTGAAAGAATAAATAGTTTGATGATGTGATGAGGATGTTCCTTAAAAAAACCAGAGCATTTTAAAGAGAATTTATCATATTATGTAGAGTGAAATACCCATTTCTACCGGTAGCTGTAATGGCAGTAATAAGAAACCACTGCTAAGACTTTGGCAAAAGTTTTACTTTTCTGAAGCAGCATGTATTTCATTTGGGTATTTACACGTTTGATAAGAAAATGCAGTCCCTTATGTGGTTCTGCTAGGGCACAATGGTAAAGCTTTACTCTCTTAATTGATATTGCGTGTATTTTCTTCTGAATTAACTTGAAAAATAGTTAACTACAGAGTAAGGTAATTTGAATATTTTACATTTGGCATGTATTCATTCAGTGCTTTTTTGTTTCAAAACACAGCGTTCTTTCTAGATAAATAACAGGATCTGTCCTTAAATTGTCCGTGAGATGATGTTACTGCTTTCTAGCCAACGCTTTTCAGATACCAAGTGTTTTAATGTGAAGCTGTGTGTTGAGACTGTGGGGTTCACTGGGAATAGCTTAATCATACCAAGGCAGCAATTGTTCGTTGTTTTTTTTTTTTTCCTTGTGGATTTAACCTTGGAGCAGTTCCAGCTGTGTTAATAAGCCACAGGAAGCTTCAGTGAACATACATATATTTAAAGAAGAAATTCCTTCTCTTTCCTAATGCAGAGACAACTAAGCAAGAGCAGCTGCTTACTGAAGCCAGTTTCTTTTTCTCTACATGTGAAATTAATAACCAAGGACAAGACATGAAACTAGTTCACGGCTAGTAGTTGGCTGATTTACATGCAGTAGCTGCTGTTGGATGTGGCTTTCACATATGTGGCTGACTTTGTTTAATAGGGGACAAGTCATAAAGCATTAATGGCATTTGATGCTTTTGGACATTTCTAGAATCAGAAATCTAATTTAATTTAAATGAAATGCAGGTCTTATGTTTTGTATGCTACACTTAAAAAGGTCAAACATAATCAATTCCCTTCAAGGAATGCCAAGTCTAAAAACATTATTGGTGTTATATATTGAGCATTGTTGAAAATGCCTAGTACTCCTGACTGCTTCTTCTGCAGAATAGGTATGAAACTTACAATAGGCATAGTTCTTTGGGAATAAACTGACAAAAAACTAGACAATTTTCAGTTCGTACTCAGCATCAACAAGCAGAGGGAGGTTTGGGAATTCTCCTTCTGTAGATCCCAGCAAATAAGTATTATCCAACTGAGGACAGCCTTCATCAGTAACTGTCGTGGTTTAACCCCAGATGGCAACGAAGCACCACACAGCTGCTCACTCCCTCGCCACCAGCAGAATGGGGGGAGAGAATTAGAAGGGTAAAAGTAAGAAAACTCATGGGTTGAGATAAAAACAGTTTACTAATTGAAATAACACAACAATAATTATTACAACAACAACAAAAACAACAACAATAATAATAATAGTAATAATAATAATAATAATAACAACAACAACACAATAATATAAAGATAATTGTAATTAAAAGGAAAACAACAAAGAGAGAGAAATAAAACCCAAGAAAGACATGTGATGCAAATTAAAACAATCGATCACCACCAACCGATCGACGCCCAGCCAGTCCCTGAGCAGCGGCTCCCCCCGCAACGTCCCTCCTGGTTTTATTGCTGAGCACGATGTCATATGGTTTGGAATATCCCTTGGGTCAGCTGGGGTTAGCTGTCCTGGCTGTGTCCCCTCCCAACTTCTTGTGCACCCCGAGCCTGCTCACTGGCAGGGCAGTATGAGGAGCAGAAAAGGCCTTGACTCTATGTAAGCACTGCTCAGCAATAACCAAAACATCCCTGTGTTATCAACACTCTTTTCAGCACAAATCCAAAACATAGCCCCTTACCAGCTACTGTGAAGAAAATCAACTCTACCCCAGCCAAAACCAGCATGGTAAGGAAGGTATTTCTGAACATTTTGCATTATAGTAATAGGAATGCCCATAACACTTCACAATGCAGCCCTGGATTTTATCTATGGCAAGAGTAATTTTTCTATTTTGTGTTAGCACTTTGTAAATTCTTTGGTGTTGGCTGAAGTCAGGGCTCTGATGTCCGCCTCTTCTGGTATTGTTACCAGCTCTGCTACTTAGAGCTATGGTATTAAAAGCAGCTCTATCTTTTTTCAGTTTGGTCATCAGAAGTTGAAAGAAAATGCATGTAATTGTGGAACTACAAGGCACAAAATGGTTTTAGAAATATTTTTATTTCAGCCACTGGAGCATAACATTTGAAATAAATCATTACATTTCAGAGAGTTTCTTATTTCTCATATTTTCATTAGAGTTGATATAAATGATACCTACATTTAGCATGAGGTGTCATTTGAAGGACTTCCAGTTTTTTGCTTTTTTTCCTATCCCAAATTACTTTTACCCCTGGTCCATTTTTTCTCCCTTCTTTGGAAAGATATAGTAAATGTTGAAGTATTCTGCCTTATTCAAATCTAATTTGTGATTGTTTTGTTCAGTCCTGAACAGCATTTTTTCTCACATGAGTTCCGTGTCCAAAAACTTTCAGCCATCTCTGTTGAGAGCAACACTGCCAGACTAGTGGTGGGGTTACTGCTTGAATTTCATGTTGCACATGAGGCGTTGTGCTCACAGACTGACAAGTAGTTGGATTGTAAGAAGAATGACTTTTGTCTTGTTAACTTAGAATGCTAATTATGACTAAACTTCAAACACTGTCAAACATTTCAAACTTGACCTTTACATGCAAACATCTAGCAAATATGTTGATCCAGAGGGCACCACTCCATTGAAAGGATGTTCCTGGGAAGAAGGCCAAACACTTGAAACGGTGTTTTGATTGCTTACTCTGAAATTTCAAGCAACGAGTGGCAACAATAGGTCCCTGCTAAACATATTTGTGGTCTGAAAAAAATTGCCATTACCCAAATTAATCTGTGTGTTCCTCAAGCTTTTACAATTAAGAGACATTCTACTTTTTAGAAGCTGAACTTGAACTCAAAAGCCTACCATTCAGGCTTCTAGTTTTTGGAAACCTAGGTATTATATAGTAGAGGCATTATAGTGTCTACGATTAGTGTGTTTGTCAGGCTGCAGTCTCCTATGAATTCTTCTGGTTCTGTGACACCTGACTCTTTTACACATTTTCAAAATCATTAACATGCTGAACACTGTATCAGTACTTAACAGTGATAATGCAGCGACACGGCTCTGTGCTTTGCACTGTGTTCTTCTGAGTCTGTCAGAGGGAATACCTGTTCAGATTTTTGTCCTACTGTTGTAGACATCTCTTTTCATTTACAGTAATATCGATATTTGTATGTGTGTTCATCACATCTCATTAAGGTACCTAGCAACGCTTTTAAAGAATACATTTTCTGCACATTGCAGTCAATGTAATCAGGTAATTTTACTATCAGGTAATAGTACCACTGCTTGCGATTTCTTTGCTATCTTTTGTCCAATTTTGTGCTGAAATCAGTCATTGTAGCTTATGAATAAATAAACCTTTGTCAGATAGTTGTTTATATATTTGGATGGCTCTGACCACAATAAGATTTCCAACCTGTTTGGGGTCAATAATGCCATCATACATACAGTTAGTGGTAAAAAATAATTGAATATGGTGGTTATGTTTCCTAGGTATAGCATATCTGAGTGGAATGTGCAGCGAAAAACGAAAATGTATAATTGCAGAGGACAATGGTCTGAATCTCGCTTTTACCATTGCCCATGAAATGGGTCACAAGTAAGTATGTGGATAACAAAGCCTAGTATTTGTTTGCGTGTAATATTACTATGATTTGATTAATTTGACTGTGTACTTCAGTTTTTCCTTTTTTCTTTTAGGAAAGCTTTTAAATTTGATGAAAAATTTGGAAAACAATGGTTTTGTTAGTAATAATAATAGTGACATGTATTGATATATAGTATGTAAATTAAGAAAGTGTTTACGACTTGGAGTAATATAGGAATCTCTGTAGCTACACAATAACTAGGTTAGCTGGAAGGACTGACATTGTGTAGAGGAAAAGCAGGTGCCCCAAGATGTTTTTTCTTTTGGGACTGTGGTATTGTGTATCAGATCCAGCTCTGACTATTGTTGCCAACAAACGTTTTCATGAGATCATGAGTTGGAAGAGCCCTTATTTAATTTGGCTTTCTTGGGATAGATCCCAGTAAAGTGTATAATGGTCATCAGTCATCACAACATTAATATTGTTTTTTCCTCCCCTTAATAGAAAAGGATGACAAAGTGAAGGCGAAGGTAACTGTGCTTCACAATTGTATTGGAAGTTGTTACTCATTCCGTGAGGAATACTTTGAAGCAAAAGCGAAAAATTCTCATGTTGCAATAATCAAATTTATTAGTGAAGGTTGTATTTGATTCTTGGCTTCAGTACTTGTTAAAGAAAATTAAGTAGGAGAGTTCTTATTTTAAAATATAATAAAATTAAAGGGAGGTGTGTATTAATCTGTCATTTTTACCTGCAGAGTCTGTATATACATTTTCAGAAGAGCAGCTTCACAGTGACAGCAGAGAGGGATGCTTTGTTAAATCCTTTGATCCTCTGAACGTTGAGGTTAGGTATCTTAGGACAAACACTTTGAATTAAAAGTGATTAGCCCTAAATTTGGTCAAAGCTGTCTGCGAATGGAGGTCATAGCACCTAATGTTGTAACATGCAGTTGATTACAAGAAAGAATTGGAACTTAAAAGATTTCTATTTAGAATTTGTCCTGGATGCAAAATAAGCAAATTCAGATCAATTATATGACTTGGAGGGAAAGGGTAACGGGAGTATTAGATGCTGCATGAAATGGATCTTTCCTGTTTTTTCTTTTTTTGAGTTTTCATAACTGCAGAAAGCAACGCCAGGTTACTATAAGCCAGCCTGTTTGAGTAATAGTTACGATAAAGGAAAGACTTCAGAAGAAAAATGTGTTTGTGTTTTGTAGCCGCATGCTGTCCTCTTTCTTTTTTTCACTGTAGCGTTTGCTAATATTAGAAGGGGGGTGGGTGGAGGACAACGCGTTTTCTGTACACTTGTTCTTATGACAGTCAACCAAGGATAAGGGGAAAGAAACAATAACTGAATATGATCTGCAAATAAGTTCACTGCTGGAGTAAATTAGAAACTTGTTTGAGGCAGGTATGATAATACCAGATGATTTAGAGAAATCTAAGTACTGCTTTATGCCCTGCACAATAAAAATAGCTTTCGAGAATAAAAAGCTTGGCAGCGGAATTACTGGATTTGAAAAAAGAGGCATCTTGATCAACAAGAAGTGTAACACCTTATGCTTCCTGAGAAATGGTGATGTACAAAATCCTAGATGAGGAGAACGGGAAGCAGGTATAAAATTTTTGCAAAGTTATGGGTGATGTGTTGGTTCTGCACTAGCAGATTTGAGAATGTGGGATACTGATCTTATAAAGAAGGGTTTGTCTTGCAGCAGACAAGTCAGGCCTATCTTTGACATTCTAAGGGCTGCTGGATGCCACACAGTATCTGCAAGAAGTTAGACAGGGAAGCTTACTGTTGCTGTCTAGCATTTCTTCCAAGACGGCTGCACAGGCCAGGCTCTGTAACTCTTGTTGCGTTCAGTCCTCAACTTGAAATATTTTCATGGCTTTGCATTGCTGTGGGACTGAGGAAGAGAAAGGACATAAAAACCTGAATTGCTGATAAATGAATCCTGTGAAAAAAATGTTAAAGGCTACACTATAAACTTTCAGAACTTTCAAATCCCTCCATATTAATTCAAATAAATTTGGAAAAACAAATTGTGATGATACCACAGCCATCATATTCTCACAGTCATAATGGCATTTGGATGTCCTTAGAGAAATTCTCTCATTTCTCTGCAAGTACTGTAATAGATGTTTAAAAACAAGGGAAATAAAGACTAGACCAAATCTGGTTCCATAGTAAAGGACAGGATGTTATTTGAACCACACATTTCTTCAAGAAATTCAACCTCATGAAGGCTAGTAACAAGCCACGTAGAAATTAAGACGACTACTACAAAAGTGAAAGAATAGGTAGTCAGAGTTATCTAAACAGCTGCCACAAAATATAAAAAATAAGGGTCAGCCTCCAGTGCAAAACATGCAGAGGCATTCAGCTTGATCTCTGCTTCATTGTGGACCCAGAGTCCTTAACCATTGCAATCTAACATTGAGTGGTCTTGCCCCAAAGAGAGTAAGGTGACATTCCAGAGACATTTGTTTTCTCTGCATGACTCTCTCTGTCTGCCAGCCTAGCCCTGGCACTTGCAAAGAGCACACTAGAAGTAGTTGACCCTTTCTGGAGAGACCATATGAAAATATTTGAAGACAAACATTTGAATGAAGGTCCCATTGAAAAGGACCTCAAGAGATTCAAATGTAACTAGAATATTTCTCACAGAGATTTGTCTTGCTGGTTAACTGTCTCAGAAATGGAGATTAAATGGTCACCATCTAGACCAGTCATAAGTCTTCTCCTCTTTCAACACATCATGTTTTCTAGAAAATTTTCACAAACTTTCTGAATCTTTGAAGTCACTTAACTCTTACCTTCTTTTCCTGCCTAATATCTTTAACCACTCTAGTTGCTCTTGTTGTGAAGAGAGTGTTATTCAGCAGCATAGGAGAAGTAAAAACTTTCTCAAAGACTTTGCCTCTCAAATTATGAAGAAAAAACCCTTAAGTTTTTTTGTCTTCTGCAAGACAAATAATATACTTGCCCCTAAATTATCATTCAAATAGACTGAGAGTGTATGCAATATCGACTCTGTAGATTTTCATTGATCAGCCTAAGCACATAAAGAAACAAATACATTCACAATTGCCATTGTATTGATGAGTATAAAAGTACTTTTGAAAAAGATAACAGTTTGCTTTTGGAGGGCTTGCTTTTATATGCCAGCCTCCATGCTGATATCTATATATTTGAGATGCATTTGTCTCTGGTAAAATCTCATGATCATTTGCAAACTCAGAACAATTTGGCAGACCTCTAATATCACTGACATCATTTGTATCATTAGAGGTTTAGGGGACTTTGAGGGGGATGGGCTATATCCCCTGTGCTGAAATCTAGGTTTGCTTGCACAGGAACATAGTGGAACAATTACAGTTACTTATACTGAATACTTCCAATACATGGATGTTTATTAAGCGCTGTGCTGTGGATTTCTTAGTTTTTCCAATTAAAACAGAAATATTCTCAATGAAATACAATGGCAAACTAAGCCTTGCTTTGCAATATGAAGTGTCTTTGTTCCGGCCACGTATGTCTGAAAGCAGAGGATCTTGTAATGACATTGAGAAATAACGTTGTAAGTCAACAATTGATTTTTGAGCTCCATCTTGAAATATTAGGAGCCAGTCTTTGTAATCAGAGACTAAAAACTATAACACATTGATGGAGCTGGTTTTAATAATCAAATGCTATTTATTAAAATAAATTTAAGGAGCAGCTAGGAAATTCTATAATGAAGTCATCTTACAGAGTAAAAACTAACAACAATGAATTAAAAGACATTGTCTCCATGTGGAGAACTGAGAGAAGAAGAGGGAGAATGCTATTATTTTGCTTATCAAATAACACTTATACCTTCATTTTACTTACATGGATTGCTGTCTGTGGGATATGACTCCTTCTGAAGCATGGAGAAGTAAAGGATAGATGTAAACTGCGGTTATCTGAAAATACGATAATTAACAATTATTATGTGCTCTAAGTGTACTTTAAAAGTTGTTCTAAATAGTTGAAGGAGATACCGGTGGAATTCCTCAGAATCCTTTTTCTACACACCTGCATTCTTTTTCTGGTAAGCGTTTTGTGAAATATGAAATGTACGCATTTTTAAAATTCAGGGTATTCTACCAGCTATTTTGTAGTTTCAAACCGGAAGTCTGTGGAATTTTTCAGTCACCTACTTAATAGCTCATGAGCAAACAACATATCTATTTTTGTGATGATATTCAGCAACCGTATGATATCCAGTGGAATTTGGAGAGCTTTAAATGGGAGATTAGGAAATGCTAATGGAGCATCAGTTATTCCATGCATTTTTGTTATCACAGTCCAAAATATGGTAACAGAACGCAATAAAATCAACAAGAATAATAAAAGCAACTGTCTGCCCATTTTTGTGAATGAGTTACTAATGTGGAGTAGGGAATGTCATTAAATTAACTAAAACAAGAGCTATCTTGATACTTATGAGGTTAAAGTAGAATTTTACAGTTGATTTTGTGTTTAACAAGGAATAGGATTAGCACATGGAAAGCAAAGGTATTAGTTAGGTTTGATAGAAGCCCTCCTTACATCTTGAACAGCACCTAATCACAAGGATAATGAGAAACTTGAGGAGCAGTAGCGGTCACTTCTACTGATAAAACCGTGCACAGTAGGATTCGTATTAGTAAGGATCACTAAATTAAGGCATGTGACATGTGGCATTTTGTCTCAGATGTTAAGTCAAAGTATTTGTTTAGCATTTATTTTGATCTCTTATCATTCAGCTGTGAGAAAAAGAACGAAGCCTTCCTTGGTACCTGGGTGGATATGCATACAGACCACCCACTGGTTACATTTTAATGACTTTTCTGTCTTGAGAAAGGTAAAACCTCTTGAGAGGTTTTGCAGGGTAGTGGCACTGTTTTTCTCTTTCCAAAATACCTATTTGTGGGGTAGACCAAGAGTTTTGAGTTTCCTACCTGTTAGTCCAGCAACTTCCTCAAAGCTTACCTTC